AAAAGAGAGAGGAGAGAATACAAAGAGTGTATATGTGTTAAGTGTGTGGATTTCGGATCCCCCGAGAGTGAATAGTGTTCACCTTTTATAGGAGAAGGTTGTTTGTCGTTCAAGTCCTTCTCTCTCCGCCATCTGTCCAATGTGTCTTATTCGTGGTCGTCTCCCATTGGAGGAGGACGACCACTCCGCCTGACACTCGGGTGCAGGCAAATTGCCTAAAAGTTTTACAATACTAAAGAAAAGAAAATGTAAGAACACATCGATTTTGCTGCCTAAGTTTGTGTGCTACTTAAACTCAATTTCCAAAGTTTAAACTTTATATATAAGACTGCATTGCATGACTTTTCCTCCCCAAAATTCTTCTACTGTTGTGGGTTCCCTTTTCCTCTCTCTCCTCTTTCCTTTTGCATATGTGTTGTTTATTATTTTGCTTTTTAGTTGTACTTATATGTTATTTGTGTTTATTAGTTTTTATTGAGCTTTGTGAAATGTGGTTGATTATGATATTATTATTTTGAGCTTTTAGTCTTCATAAATACTCAATTGCTCATTTTCTTCAACAATTTTGTGGTAGCGGCCCATCCCTATCATCAGCAGCCCCTTCATTTATTGATGAGATCACACAATGTATGACACAAGACATTGAGTCTAGGTTCGCTACAACGATCGAGAACCTACCGGCACATGTTTTGTTCTTAGGGTCACAGGGTGTGGTTGGGAGTAAGAGCTCGAGAGAGGTGCAATACTTACAAATTGATGAATTTTACATTTGATCAAATTTGTATATGTACATATGGAAATTATTAACACGTTAAACTAACATATTGTAGGTGCCAGATGCATCTAGTGGCCAACAAGCTTCAAAAAAAAAGATGAACAAGTATGCCACTATTCGAACAAATTTTGAGCAGTCCATAATCTGATTTGGTGTTGGTTGTTGCATATATAATAAATTACTATATATGTCAAAGTAGAAATTGACATCTCATAGAAAAAGTATAAGAGTGTCTAAATCATGACTACCCAAAATAAATAAGAACTTAACGCTGTGTTTGGTTGGGGGATTTAGGAAGGGATTTGGAAAAGGAAAGAGAAAATGTGTGTGAAACTATGTGAAATGTAGGTATATTTTATTCACATTTCACCTACATTTTCCCTTTTCCTTTCCAAATCTCTTCCTAAATCTCCCAACCAAACACAACGTAAGAGAAGAAAGTATATAAAGTCACAATTACTTTTTGACCATCTCTTATGATGTTGACTTGTCATGAAGTATTAATTTATTTTTTTTAATCTGTATTTTTGCATGTGAAGAGTCTAAACCCTTTTGTCTCAATTGGCAAAGACTTCAAAAGTCAGGGCATCCATAGTTGTTTCACTGAATTAATTTATGTGTATATATTTGATGTTGCAATTGGATTTAATGTGGAAACAATGCAATATAACAACATAAAGTTTCAAGTTTGGGATCTGGGTATCTATTTCCAAATCATTATTGTAAATATATTATTGTTTGTCCCAAAGTAGTTATTGTGCATTATGTCCAAAGTGCTTTGTACTGGGTTATAATAATTAATTGCAATTTGTAAATAACAGCCTTCTTGTAATTTTTAAATGGATAAACCTAGGTTGAAATTCATGCATTTTAGTACATTGGATGCTTGGTGGGTGGGCAAGTGGATGCATTTCATATGCATGTGACTCAGGTGTTGGGTTGCTGATTTTTTCTTAGCAGATCCTGACTTATCTGAACCTTTTTAGTTAAACCACTTTGATGAATAAATTACTAGTAATGCTCCTACCAAAAATGTTAGTTTGGAGTTGTTATGCATATGCACTAGATATTTTTTTCATTTTTATTATGCACTTGGGCATTGTGATAAAATATTAGAATATTTGCTTGAAAGAAGTGACAACTATGCAGGTACTACTATTGAAAAATGTGAATCATATGCTTGAGAAATTAGTTACCTGACTTGTTTAAGAATATGTTATGTTCTGGGTGTTGCCATTGTTTGTTGGAGGATAGTCGGTGTTGTTGCTGATAATTGTGGCATCTATAAGAAAAGATAGAAAATTTATTGCCCTCTTGGTAGTACTAGTGGTGTTATAGAAAATTTATGTTGTCTTTGGTGTATATAGGTTAGCTTCGCAATTGATGAACACTTGAGAGTCAAGAAAAGCACACACAAGGCTTAAATGTTCTAATCCTACTAATTTTGCACATTTTTTATTTTTGATTTGACACACTAATAGTTTTTCAAAATGTATGTTTTGATGTGTTTAATGTCAGGTATTTGGTTCTTGATTTAGCAAGCATGTTACTACTCTGTGTACATAAACCTGGAAAATATTGACTTGCTTGTTCCCTCTTTCTTTGTTTTGCTAGATTTGTCTCAAATAAATGGTTTGGTGCTATTGTTTTCAGTGGGACCTTATTTGGTAGATTTGTCTCAAAATATTTGTCACTAAAAAGTTATTTTTGTACTATTTATAAAATGTCATTGAAAATTACGGTAACAAGATGGTCGCTAATACATTGTAGGCATTTTTTTATAATTTTTTGCGATGGCAAAACATCAATCGCTATAAGTTGGTTAGGTGGTCGCAAATAGTTTGCGACTGCTTTTTGCAGTCGCAAAAAGTATTTGCCACCCCCACATTCGCATCCCTCATTTTTCATCGCATGGCTCATCGCAAAAGGTCTTTTGCGATTGTATTTCTATTTTTTGTGACTTCTTGTAGTAATCACTTAAAATGCTTATTTTAGTAGTGATGGGGGATGGGGAATGGAAAAAATTTATAATAGAGAAATGAGGATGGAGAATTAATATCTGCCCTCTTGCTCCCCATTGACATTCCTATTCCTAAATATAAAAATGCATTTTAAAAGATAAAAACCACTGCCCTGAGGAGTTGATACTTTGATGTTTTCTGTTTCTTTCAATAATTGATGACAAGAGATATGATACTGGGCCATTCCTTATTGTTTTTTTATTTTGTGCCAGGAAATGGAATCACAGACATTAACTACACAGGGGAGCTGATACTTTGATTTGGTTATGTTTGCTGATTGATAGAATAGTTGGAAACATGAAGAAAATGTGTGGGCCAACTTCAGACATAATCACTCATCTTCCAGACAATGTAAAAGAAACAATCTTGATGTCTTTGCCATTACAAGATGCGGTGAGGACTAGTATTTTGTCAAGGAAATGGGGGTATATGTGGGCCAGACTTCCCCAACTTTTATTTGATGATAAGTTCTGCAGAGAATTGATCAGAAATCAGAAGAATAAACTTGTGATGACTATTTATCAAGTTCTGCTGCTCCACCGTAGACCAATACTCAGGTTCACTCTTTCTTTATCTGGACTTGAAGGCTGTTCTAAGATCGACCAGTTGGTACTTTTTGTTTCAAACAATGGTATCCAGGAATTCAACCTTCACATTCGGATAGGTGAACCTTATAAATTGCCATCATCACTATTTTCATGTCTTCAACTTAAGGATTTGACTCTCCGTTCTGGTATGTTTAAGCCTCCACCTGAAAAATTTTAAGGGTTTAGGAGTCTCCTTCGCCTGGAGCTTTGCAAAGTTGCCATTACTGCCAACATATTTTCAAGTTTAATCTCCAGTTGCCCACTTCTTGAAGAACTGACACTTGAAGACTGCAGCAGTTTAGATTGCCTTGAAATTTACGTTCCTAATCTTATATTCTTATTCTACGAAAGCCATGTTCGTTCTATTTGTTTTAAAAATACACCTCATCTTGCGAAAGTTTCAATCGGTTTGAAAGTGCACACAAACGAGGAAACACTCAAGGAAGGAGAAACATCTAATATGGTCTTGTTTTTTGATAGTCTACCCGCCATTCAGTTTTTGGAATTAGACTATTATTATGTTCATGGAAGATTAGTAAACCATGTTTTTTTTTTTGGCCATGGGGTTAGCTTAAGTAACTGATGTTTCTCTAATTTTTTTTTTCTTTCTTTAGTACATGGCTGCAGGTGGGGTACCAAAGAGGCTTCCAATTACTCTGAGCCACCTTAAAATTATCGATTTGTATGCTATTTGTTTTGGGGAAGTCAATGAGGTTTCTATTGTTCTTTGCTTAATCAGAAGCTCCCCAAATTTGGAAAAAATTATAATTGAGGTTAACTAATGACATATTTTATTATTTCCTATGTTTATATATAATGTATATTTTGAATCTTTAGGCTGAGACAATTTTGCTTTATTCTTTCCAGGTTTGTACCCATGAAACTACTGCTATTGATCATGTTCTAGAACTTTTAGAAATTCAAGACTGGTCAGATGTCTCTTTAAATCAACTTCGAGAAGTGGAGATCCGAAATCTATCTGGAACAAGGTTTGAATTGGAGTTTATTAAGCTTCTATTAGCCAAATCCCCTATGCTGGAAACAATGCTTATTGAGCCTGACTTGGAGAAAGTTGCTGACAAAGGATTGAGGATTTTGAAAGAGTTGACAAGATTTTGGCGCTCCTCACCAAAAGCAAAAATCACATACAATGATCCAGATGGAAGTCGCAATGAAAATGAACCCCTGAAGATTAAGTTTAGCAAATGGTTTGTGTTCTTTTTTACTAGCTTTGGTTTGAGTGACACAGAAAGATGATCTTTTTGGTATTCATTCTCTGCTAAGTAACAACTGCTAATGAGATTCACTATGGGAAAGTGGAACATCTAGGGAAAAGAAAAAAACAATGCTCTCCATTTTGGAAAAATGAATCTTCAACATTTAAACTTATGAAATTTGGTTGATATTCTTGGTAATAGATAGTACAATGATGTATGCATCAATTTTCCCCCTAATCCCATTACCTCTTCCCCATTCAAGGTACAATGGAACTTGCAATTGACACTGACATACACACTTCACACATTTTTATTTTCCTCTTAAATTATCCTTAGTTATTGCACCTTTCTACTTGTTTGGATTATATTTCCCCTGTTTTTAAAGTTTAGGGTAATGTACAACATTGCCATGAATCAGGTGAGTGGAAATCACAATGAAAATTTTGTCTAATTTTAGACAATGTTCGCCATCTATGAAATCTGAATGAAAAGGCACAATTTAGAAGTGGTATAGTTGAAGTGTTTTATTTACAAATGAATGACGTCTTGGGTTCCTGCAAATCTTTTTCATTTTGGCAGTGGCAATTGATTTACAAACAAAAGTAACACACAGAAAATTCAACAAGAATGGTATGACAG